TGAAAAACCAGCCGGTCGCGGCGCCGACTCGCAACGAAACTTACTTCGCGGCAAGCGAAGAGAAGATCAAGTTGCCCTCGACATTGTACGAATTGAAGAACGACACGGCCATAGACGAAGAGGAGCCGTTCTATTTCGGAAGTTCCAATGTCGACGATATTGGAAAGAAACTTCCAGCGACAGTTCCAGTAACGGAATTGATCGAGGAGACGAACGATACCAATTTCTCGGAAGTGGTGGACTACAAGATTCCAGTGGATCCGAAGGCAGCGGTGAACTCCTCGAGCGTGAATAGGATCGACATCCGTGGCAGTACGGAAGAAAGCGTCTCGGTGGCGGAGAAGCGAGAGAACTCCACCGATCCGTCAACCGCACTGGTATTGTTGATTTCGCCTACAAAACTGACGAACGTAGTGGACGATCTGTCGCTGACGCAGAACGATACTACCGAGGAAGCTGTGCCGATATCCAATTCCACTTCAAACCCTAACGAGAGCGTTTCTACTGGTGCATCCGACTCCACGCTCTTACCTGCGAAGCAAACGACGTCGATCCCGATAGACGAGCAACGAGATAACGAAACGTACGCGAAAGACGAGTTAGCACCGGAGACTTCCAAGCCGAGCGAGTCGCAGGACAGGGACTTGATCTTTTACGACGAGGAAGAAGGCGACGTCGAGTATCCGTATAGCACTGACGTGCCAGACGAAGACGATTCGGGTGAAGAGATCCTGAAGCATGGAGAAGCCGGCATGACGATTCCCACGGTTCGAGATATGGATCACCCGGTCGATCGCGAACGTCTTCAGTGGCAACAGGAGCAGATCGCAGCGTTAAAGAAGCTGTTCAATACACTCGATCGGATCGCATTGCACCTTAACGATTCCACGGAGAATAAAGACGAGGCGGAGAGCAATGTCTCCAGCGAAGTCAGTATTGACGGTGACTTCATTGTGGAGACGACGCTCCTGGACGTGAACACCGAGAGATTGCAGGTCACTACCAAGTCGCCAAATGTGACGGAAAAAGTCAATGACAGCGAGGACGATTCCAAAAAATTGTTCAGCTCGGAATCTAAGAATTTCCATGTTATATTCCCTGACGAGGTCCACGACGTGGTGACCGTCAGTTCGCACGGACGCAAGCCATCCGAACAGCTGTCCGTGAGGTTCGAGAAGAACAAGGAACCGGAAAGTACACCTTCTTCGTACGATTTGCCGGAGGAAGACCCGATAACTGAAATTCGCACGTTCAACGATAAACGATTGAAAGAGAGTATACTGCAAAAAAGTCCGAAAGATTCCGAATCAATAAACGTCCCGAGCAGTTCCATACGGACGACGATGAACATCGACTCTGCTGAAGACTTCGTGAGATTTCCCGATTACGTGAGGCGGCCGCAGCCAGGCGGTTACGTGAGGTTTCCGGATAGCGGGGAGATAGCCAACAGCATACACAGTTTGAATTACAAGCAGAATTCGCGCTACTCCGCGGACGACGTCGACCATTACGGCGGTACCAGCACCAAGAGCAGCGTGCCCGTTCGCCACAAACCAGTTTATCATCATCTGACGGCGTCGAGTTGGAAGCCGGACTCGGATCGCGTTCAGGCGACATCCAGCGAGAGGCAGAATCAGACACCAAATTTGATGCATTTCTGGAGCAAGCTTCCGCTGATCAAAGATCCGGCTATCTATCCCGTTTATCAGAACGACGACCAGGAACAATCCCACAGCCGTTCCTCTCGGGCACGATCGTCGCGAAGGTTGAGCCCCTTCATGGAAACGTCTCCGGGGAACAGGGTTCCAACGCAAAAGCGAAAGATTAGACCAATAGTTAGCGTTTAATCTTCACATCGCTTTTCTTAAAAGAACGGTCCAATCAATTGTGTACGGAACTATGTCAAGTGACTCGAGAATTCCGAAATTGTCAAGGTAGTTTGCGGATTGTCGTTGCGTTTAGATCGTTACTGTACGAGAGAACTTTACAGTAGATATAAGATCGACAAGAAGGATTGTCGACGGAAGACAATCTGCGGCAATCTGTTTGACAAGTTCAAGAGTCGATATTGCACGTATCGCGTCTAGTATTTTCTTTTGCTCAGCGAATGAATTGCAAATTGTTGGAAACTTCGACGATCTCAGGAGGAGTGATCTGGAATCTAAGTATCTTCCCGGTATTGCTTTCTCTTCATATGAGAATAAAACTGGACTCACTGTAAGAACGGAGGAAAATTTAAAAACGTACTTAGCGTTTGTTTATTATATATGCGTCACGTCATGTTCATGATTAAATTCGCACCCGCAAAAAGGTTTTCGAGGACAATCTCACAAGTGAGTTCTGATATCTTACGGTGTGCAATTAACAGTGTTAAGTATCGGACAGAGAAAGTAGAGAGGAAATTGCGAGTAGCGTGCTGACGCAAAATATTTGCGCAACCGATGATGAATTTTGCCACGTTAATCAGATACGTAGCTTTCTATGGAAAGTTCAAACTGTATCATGCATTTTAAATTAAATCTCTAAGCGTCGGATATCACCTGTGAATTCATCGCGTCTGATGATAGACAGATATTGAGTTGCGAAAACAAAGCGTCGCTGTTTCGAGCAGCAAGGTTGAGGACAGATTTGTTTGAATTGATATTAACTAGGGTAATATTTGCAACAGCTAAAATTTTCTACCAGAATGCGCTAAAATAGAAGAAACACTGCCCAAAGTACTTTTAAATTTTTTATGAGTGATTTTTTTACATTTTTTCGATTATAGAAATTAGCAAGAATCCGCAGTTTCGTCACATATTTAATTTCATATGTAACACTTGTGGCTTCCTATATTTTTAACAATATTATTTTAATAATATAATCACTTTTTAATGAATGAAACTTTATTTATACTGACTCTGTTTTATTCATATAAACATATTAGATACTTACTACATCTACAATTTTATTTGATAATTTATTCAATATTATTTTTTATGAATATTTGTTAGGTCTCCAATTTTATTTATGGTAATTCTATTAAATTTTACTTTAATAATATAATTATTTATCATTTTAATATGACAAATTAACTTAATGAAAATATGACAGAACAATCGCATTGAATTCTAAATATATGACGAAAATGCAGATCAACAAATCCTTGATAAAAATATATCGCTAATTAGGCTATCATATGATGAACTAGTTATTAATTTAGCCAAGTTTCGTGTGAAACGTTGATAAATCTTTATTCTCTGTGCAGCAGAGATAATTATTAGACTTGTCAGTGTTAACACTAATTTTCGAGATAAGAATGTATGAATGGCGTATTTGCGAGCTCGCAAGCGATATGTTGAGCTCATTTACTAACGGAAGTGTTAATGAAGCACAGACTGATCTTTAGAGTTATTATACAGTAGTTGATTTTCGGCCGTACGAAATCTTGGGAGTCGTGTTGCTGTCTTCACTAAAGAAATACAATCGTGCAGAGCATCAATTTCGTGCTCGTCGTTGTAAGATTTGCAAAAGAAGAACGTACAAAATCGTTACGGTGACACGATTTTTTTGCAGATTTTTAAATGCCGTTTTTATAAACGACAAGCGTGCACGGATGTGTTAGACTACTTTTTGCAGATCAATCACGAATTACACCTACATTAGTTAGCCAACAGCGTAGAATAAGTGTTTTCAGTGTGATCTAATCGATCGTTGTTTCACGTCGATAGCTTCAAAGGTGATTTTTCTCAAAACAGCCATCGAAATCAGTCGAAAAGTTTCGATGATCTTTGTTATACTCGCTTTACCTATCATCTAAGCAAGATAATTACATTTTGACGGCAACATTGTCACCGCTATAATAAACGCTCCGGCTACATGTGACATGTATTGTAAAGCAAGAATATTTAAAGCTTTTATTTATTTGAGTAGCATTAGCGCGCGTATTAGTGATATAATAGATCGATGTAGAATATTTTCAATAAGTTTTATTAATGTAAATCGCAAAAGTCTTCGTAAGTTAATTTTTAATAGACCAAAACGTATAGAGAAATTATTTTCATTTTACTAGGCAAATAATTTAGAATAATTTAGAGTTAAATGTGTGTTGTTAAATTTTATCATTTTATAATACTCTCATGAAATAATGTGTTTTAGCTTTCTTTCTCTTTTAAAGTCAAAAAATTTACAAAACAAGAGAAATCATTATATCATTGACAAATGTAATGCTAAGCAGCACTCGATTCAAATAATATTTATTAATGTAATAACATTTATTAAATTAAATTTTAACATTTATATTAAATCCTATTAATACTCGTAAATTAAATTTTTTTGGTAAATTTGTTTCCTGGATTTTAATCTGCTGCGTACAATGTTATTAAGAAGCCGCGGCTTTTATTGTAGCAGATGTTATCGAGTCTTCATTTAAAGCATCGAGACATTTCGAATCGGCTTTCCTGCTACTTGATAATTAAGCCGAAAGATTTTACGATACTTGACATTGTGTGGCCAGTAAATCTACTGATCTACATGCATTTCAATGTGGTATGTAATTTCTCCCGTATTATTGAATGTCGATTCGTGTACATATTAATTATATCATTGAGGAATGTATATATGCATAGAGGCATAATGTAGACACAATATAAATAAATAAGCGTTAACAGCAGCACAGTCCCGATTGCGTATTAATCGTGTATTAAATCTTCTTGTATTATTTATAGCGAAATATATCGATGTATATTGCATTTGTCGTGTTGTGCGAGGCCGCCTGTTAGATAACGGAGTAAAGGAGTTATAAAAAAGAAAGAATCGCATACGACGCTCGTATGATACAAAATTACCGTGTTCTTTTATTTGCACAACCTGCCCAACATCTCTTTTATCTTATCATCGAAATAGCAGATCCGTTCGCGTTGCTCGCAGAAATATTTAATTTTGTGACAATATATATGATATCATTGTATATACATTTTTATCCACAGAGCGTTTTATATAATAATAAATCTAAATTCGGTTTATTTATCTTGTTTTAAGTGCAAAAATTTTGGCAATTTCAACGCAAGAAATCTATTGTACCTTTGAACTAACTTATTAATTACATCAGCTTGTCTTGAGACCTTTAAACCCCATAGCCAAGAAGAATGTTTCAGTCGATTCGTCCCTCGTTGCATCAGGCCTAAATATCCTGATCTTATTGTAAAACTTTGCCAGATTCTGTTCAAATTGTTGTGTCTTACCACCGTCCCAGATCTTCACAAGGAACGTGCTTTGCGTCTTACTGATTTGTAGCGCGAATCTCAGGGCGGCGTAAGCGAGTAGCATTATATTATCATGGTCTATATCCCTTACGCCGGATGCGTTTGGAGCCATGTCAGACAAGATGACGTCGACCTTGTCTCCCTGTAACATTTTGCTCAGAGTCTCATGCGTTTTAGCGTTTGTGAAGTCCATATTCCCCAAGACAGTCGCACCTTCCACAGGATAAAATGGAAGTTTGTCGATGGCGTACACCTTGCCGATAGAGCCTTCCTTTTTGCCATCAGCATTGGTAAGATTGGTGGCGACCTGAGTCCAGCTGCCGGGCGCTGCTCCACAGTCCACGACGGTCAGACCCGGACTGAGGATTTTGAATTTCTCATTGATCTCTAGGAGCTTGAACGCGCTTCTGCACCTGTACCTCTCCTGCTTCGCCTTCTCCACGTAGGGATCGCGCAGCTGCCTCGCCAGCCATAACTGCGAGCTGTGTTTCTTGCCCTTTAAGTTCCGTGGGGTTTCCTTGAACAGTGCACGGCCGGTGTGCACGTTTCTCGTCAACGAAACGTTCCTGCAGAGAGAATTCATCCCGTATGTAATGAATGAAAATGTGATCTAACCTGTGACCAAGCACACGTTCGCAAACGCTTAGCGTAAATACTCGATTTAAGGCTTCTGGTGAATTAATATTTATTTGTCAGCTGTTTAGCGCTATACATTCCCAGGGAATTGCTCGTATATACAAATTGCGTTATTAAATGGAGAATAAAGACACACTGTCAACATCGCAGAATTAAAGCCCTGGACGCGGCCATGTTGCCTGATCGCAAAACTATGCTCCATTTTGGCTGTCCGATCAGCTGATTATCATGTGTCGATGTGGTAGGATTCTGTCAGAACTTGGCGAAGAGATTAATCAATATTTTATGTAATAAAAATTATTCTTGGAATTTTTCATATAATTTTTTAGATTTTTTGTACAAATTATGTACATATAAAATACTTTTCAGAAGAGTCGAGAAAGTCTTTTCTAGAATTCTTCGTAAAGAAATGTTATATAAATTCAACAAAAATATAGAATTAATGTCATGAGTTAACCGTATAATATCTTAAAAATAATCATAATATTCTAAATATTTTTCTACAATTATCACTCGCATAGATAAACCCGGAATGATAACAATAAAAATGCAACTTTAAATAAAACTCAAATTGGAGTCATAAAAATATCCTTTATGAAATATTATCAGGACAAATTAAGATAAAAAATGTTATCGATCAATATAAAAAATAATACTAAACAAAAATAAAATTAACACAATTAAGTCGATTGTCTAAATTTGAATATCATAAGATCGTCAGCCTTCAATAATTCTTTGTCAGTAACGAGTGTAAGTGCATGCATTGTAACGATACTTATTAAATATACATACACACATATCAGAGAAGTACTCCACGCACACATCCGCGACACATGCGCGTGCATGTTCGGCGTTTCTCGGCACGCTCGTAGCTAGTGGAGAAGAGTGTCGGGTGTCGGCGAACCGGCGATGTGAGATATGTGACCGCGGAGCGAGCTGCAGTGCACACGGTCTGAGATCCGGATGTTTTCATCGACGGAGTGATTCACGATGAACCTCACCGCGGGCAATGCGCACGGCAACGGCCTGCTCTACGCCGGCTTCAATCAGGACCAAGGTACGTCTCCCGTGCGGTCGCCTAACAGCGCGTGTCGATAGCGGAACATCCGTCGACCACGTACCTGTCAGATTCGCCGTGCTTCCGCGTTCTAACCTAGCTTAGTTTCGCCGCCCGCGCGTCCACCACGCATCGCTCGTTTCCACAGTCCACACGGTGGTTCGCGCGATGCCACGTCTTCAGCTGCGCTCGGCGTTATCATCTTTTCGTCTTGCCGTAATCCGGAACGCCGGAGGACCAATTTTGCCGATCGATCGATCGATCGTGAACCTCTTCGCCGAGGAACGTCGACGTCCCCTCGACGTCCGCGCGACTTGCAGCAGATTCACGACTTGGTCAGATTTATTTCTGTATAGTCAGAATCGTTCCGTTGTACTGGACGATCTTCCTTCGATTTTTGTAAAAGTATGCAATGAAAGAGTGAAACGATTCGACACGTTTATTTGCATCTTTCTCTCGTTTCCTTCCGTCCCATCTCGAAGTGATACCGTTGCACGTAGTGACTATCCACGATTGCACACGTTTGAAGTAAGCTCGCGCGATATCACGTTTCCATGTAGGAGTTTATCAGGTCAAGTCATCTTCTGCACTCGTGTCGACATGTATATATTATAAATACACGCGATAGTCGATTAATATTGTTACGGCAAGGAAAATGTATGTATATAACAGATAAAACTGTATCGCTAACCGTTCACGCATTTACAGGATGCTTCGCCTGTGGCATGGAGAACGGATTTCGAGTGTACAACTGTGATCCGCTGAAGGAGAAAGAGAGGCACGACTTCAGCGATGGGGGCCTTGGATATGTAGAGATGCTTTTCAGATGTAATTATCTGGCGTTGGTTGGGGGTGGAGTTAAACCAATGTACCCGACAAATAAAGGTTCATTTACTTTTATTATATATATTTAATATACACATATATATCATTAGGTCTGTTCTTTGTAGCTTAACTAGTATACATTCGTTGTATTTAAAAAAAAAATATTTTCCAGCAAGAGGCATAGGCTGTGTTTCATTCTTGTTATATATCAAATGTTAAAAGAGTACAATACTCACTAGGGTTATGAGTGTCAAGTGGAATGTACCCATAGTGTAAAACAGTGATCATTTTATCTTTGTTTAACATTGGCAAATAACGAAGATGTAATAATATACTGTATGTTATACTGTGTTATCTATTGCTGGAAAACATCTATTTAAAGTCTGAGGAAAGCAAGGGAGTTTTAGCAGTCCAGCAATAAAGAACAGGCTTATTATCGTAGATACATACAACTTACACTTTATTTATTACAGTCATGATATGGGATGATATAAAGAAATTACCGGCAATTACCTTAGAATTTAACGCGCCTGTGAAAGGGGTGAAATTGCGAAGAGACAGGATAGTAGTAGTGTTAGAGGGTGTTATAAAGGTTTATACATTTACACAAAATCCCCAACAGTTGCACGTATTTGAGACTAATCCTAATCCACGAGGGTTGTGCGTTCTGTGTCCGAACAGTAACAACTCCTTACTTGCCTTCCCTGGACGAAAGAACGGCCACGTTCAAGGTAAAATTCAGTAACATATCGAGATCTCGGTATATCTTATATCAAATGTATTACTTAACACCAACGACTCGTGTATTTCAGTTATAGATCTGGCTAATACAGAGAAGCAACCCTTAAATATAGAAGCACATGAAACGCCTTTATCTTGCATAGCTTTAAATCTGCAGGGCACCAGATTAGCCACTGCCTCAGAGAAGGGTACTTTGATAAGAGTATTTGATACGCAAAACGGTAATATGATTAACGAATTAAGAAGAGGAGCGAATCACGCAAATATCTATTGGTAAGTATAGTAAAAAGGAGATGTGACAAAACAACATGGCACGAAATTATTAATTTACATATGTTTAATTTCAGCATAAACTTCAATCACGACTCTACGTGGTTGTGCGTGGCCAGCGATCACGGTACCGTGCACGTATTCGCCGTCGAAGATCAAAAACTGAATCGCCAATCCAGTTTAGCGTCCGCCACGTTCCTGCCAAAGTACTTCAGCTCGAGTTGGAGTTTCTGCAAATTTCAAGTGCCGAGCGGTCCCCAATGCATGTGCGCGTTTGGCCAAGATAACAATAGTATCATAGGTAAACGACGTGTGAATTGTGTATATTCATTTCTATCAGTGTAAATTAACTTTATCCTCGATTCAATTTATTCTTTATCTTTTCTACTTCTTAGGCCGGTATTCATAATTCGTTCTTATATTTAAAATGGTCTTAGGTATAGTCTTAAGACATTATAAACCGTTTACAAAGTTGTATTAGCGTTCTAAGACATTACTTAATCTTGTATAAAATAACGGATTACAAGTACCGGATTAGAACTAGAAAAGATTTAAGTTAAACTGACAATGAGATTAAAGTTAATTTACGCATTGATAAAATTACAAGACTTTTAACCGAAAACCGTTACATATTCCGAACAATCTCTCACGTTTACAATCTCTTATGCAGTGATATGCGCAGATGGTAGTTATTACAAGTTCGTGTTCAACAACAAGGGTGAGTGCACGAGAGACTTTTATGCGCAGTTTCTCGAGTTGACCGACGACAAAGCGTGATTGGAGGATACATAACAGCGGTGAAATTCTAACCGCGCGACGAGGGACTTGACTTTTGTGTTCCTTCACTATTTTCACTCATTTCGGCTGAGTAAAAGAATTCAACTGCTCGCAGATACATCACAGGTACATCGCAGGTACATGGAGATTGTAACACTCGAGCTGTTTATATAGGGGCAATAAAGTTCGTACCAAACGTTACGATAGAGGACCAAATGAAGAGTTCTATTGACTGTTGGTAATATCGTTCGTTGGTGTATTGCGCAGATTTTTAAAAACAAAAAGAAAAGCAATGATTGATAAATTGAACAGATGAAAATATCTTAATAGAGATTGTCATAAACTTGTTACACGAGCCTATTCGCTGACGCCTATTGATAGACGAGAGTAAATTTTTAAATATAACAAACAGAAGGAATACTTTCCCAGGTGATAACGGGAGACATCGCAAGTTACTTGTTGGCGTGATATACTCACGTTTTCTTACATTTTAGATAAGAATGTTGCTGCAGCTAACTAATAAAGCGAACATTGGCCATAAAACCTAATCTACAATGTATTCTTTGCTTCCTGTTTCTTATTTTTTCCTCTCTGCCGTTTCATCGACAATTGCGTTTCTTGTCTCTTCTGAAGTTCATCAACCTTTATCTTGGATGACAGAGAACGAAGAAATAGAATATAACGGACAAAAATATAAGAAAAGCGATAAAAAGTAAGAAACAGCACGGAAAAAAAGATTTTACTATGGACACAAAAGAATTGCAAAATTTGATTGTTAAAGTTATTTGCTGTTTAGCAAACAAATTTGTATATTTAACAAATATTTGGTATTTATTGCAAATAATTTTTGTAGAGAATATAAAAAAGAATAAATCTATTTGTTATATACTTGTGCAAATAATTTGCGATTCCTATATTTGTGTGTAAATGGAATTTTCCTTTATATAATTATATTAATATTTGCAAATGGAACTAACGTTCATAGCTAATTTTTTCTTTCCGTGAGGAAGCAAAGAGCATAACAAAGATTAGGCTTAAAACATGTTTGTGACAAAAAGCAAATAATCATTTGCCGTAGCTTTGCGGTAAGCGCTTTGCAATGCAATCGTATATCCTTATTGATCATGTGTTTCGTAGTTCTGCAAATCTTTTCATTACATATAAACGCATTATATATAAAAGTGATATACATCCCCTCTTTGACGATTTTAAAATCTATTTAAATAGTTTGTTGTTATAATCGCATTCATTTTTGGCGATTCGTTGAACACGATTTTGTTTCATAGCCAAATCATCATAGATACGTCATATATACATATACATTTATTGAAGTATTATAATTTTTATTTTTACGTCCCCATACAATTAATATAAATAGAGATTGTTATAATCGCGTCCGTTTTTGACGATTCATTGAACACAACATTATTTCATAGTCGAATCATATCTTAGATACGTCATATACATATACATTTACTGAAGTATTATAATTTTTATTTTTACGTTCTCATACATTTAATATAAATGGATTATTGTTATAATCGCATCTGTTTTTGGCGATTCGTTGAATACGACATTATTTCATAGTCGGATCATATCGTGTACACATTATATACATATACATTTGAAATATTGTAATTTTTACTTTATGTTTTTCTTATACATTTAATATATATATATTAATATATATATATACGCAAAAGAGATTCTACACTTTACATAACACGAATATTGCTGCAGATAATAAGGTTGTAATTTCACAAACAAATTGAATTTAAGTATGAAATAAAATTGATTATTCCACGATTTGGAGTTCTGCACTTCTATATATTTCTCTAAATAAATTAATCTATAATTCATATATCGTATATAGCATTTTCGATGTTGTCATTCTACCGAGCGCAAATTTCTTGAGAAAAACTCGCTCGCTTATGCTAAAAAATTAAATTCAGTCTTGCGTTTGAACGAAAGTGCGTACTTGTACACAGCACAGAGAGAGAGAGAGAGAGAGGGAGAGGGAGAGAGAGGGAGAGGGAGAGAGAGAGAGAGAAATTATTTTTGGAATTGTAGAATTTTTATCTATTACAATCTCGACAGATGGAAATCCAAAATGTATGTCACACGTAAGAATATGGTGCATAGAAAGAACGATTTGTTGCAATATTTAAAAGCTTAACTAAATACAAACCTGAAAATAATGTGTTGTACCATTAAGATAATTATGTATAAGACACTCAAGTATTATATAATAGGCAATTATAAAAAGTTTTGACATTTGAACAATCAGCTTAGATGCCTCGTAATTATTTTGATTTAAAAAAATTATTTTTAGATCTGTATTTAACTAAATATTTAAATACTTTAACAAAACCGTTCTTTCCGTGCAGTAAATACTAGTATCTGTGCGTTGCATTAAAGAATCATCTTAATGCGCGAACATAAAGGAATATGCAACTAACAAAAGAAAATAAGAAGGAACATTCAAATATGAGAAACGCGTTCCTTGCAGATCTTGAGCTTTACATAGGATTTTCTTGTTTATTTTATTTAACGTGTGATACACGTGTTTATTATCTTCTGTCAGCTCGCAATCAATTATTTCGTTGTCGAGATGTACTTTATTTCACAATTATAATCATCTCTAAATTGCCATCCCGATTTCTAGACATGTCCGAAAGCACATGATTTTTCAAAATGCATCTATGTCACTGACTGAGATCTTGTGGTAATTGAATTTTGTGGTTTTACGGGGTAAATTATGAGATTTCCTCATTTTCGTAATTTTCCTGTAAAACTGCACATCAACAAAGAAATTTTCCATTGCTATCTCATAATACTTTCAAATTTCGTAAGGTGTGTTTATCACAATCTGGACCGATTTTGATACATCCAGCGTGGTCGGTAAAGCGTACTTCTTTTTCACAGTGTGCACTTCATGCTTAAGTCCTTTCTTCGTCTCGAGGTTTTTGTAAGTACTATATACCACGAACCAGAGATAAAAGCTTATGACTATCAGGGAAAAGATGATTAGACCTGAAAATATCATATCGTTCTTCAATAAAAAAGCACGAGAAACATTTTATAAATAAAATCACAACGTAAGATTTTTTAGCAAACGAAATAACAGATAGATTATTCCATCGTTCTCGTTTCATATATTTTACGTACTGTTTTTATAACAGTGATAGAATAAGAGCTCGGTATCGCATGAATTTCTTTGATTAAATTTTTTAAAGATCGAACTGATATAATATTTAATTAAAGAAATTCATACAAGGGAATGGAACACAAATTTTTGGTTTTATATAATTTTAAACATAAATAAGCGAAAAAGATATATTCGGGTAGAATGGATTTTCGTGCTTAATAATATTTTAGAGTAAATTTTATAAATTTCAAGTAAATTGCGTACCAATTATCGATCTTGAAACAAAAAAAAAATTAATTTTAACTTACGTTCACAAATATCAGCTTTTCCGCCTAGACTAGCAAGGAAAGGGCAATCCGCCTCTACCAGGAATAATGAGATCGATAATGCTGATATAATAGTGATCTCGACTATCATCCATGGTAGCATAAAATGACGATTGTTCTGAAAATTGAGTGTATTGTAGAAAAAAAAACTTTAGCAAAATTATATATATATATATATATTCTTTCAAACGATTTTGATTACCGTCAGAGCTCCATAGAGAAGTGACATGCAAGAGAGGAAGTGCATAATTGAGATGAATAGGCCGCAATACATTGTGTATTCCAGTTCTGCAAATACATAAAATTGCGGTTACAAGAAAGGCAATGATTGTTTTGTTGTATTTTTTTTCGTGCGTGATTTTTTGTGTGTAGCATAAATGCGAGTATTAATAACCGTTTGCGGTGTGATGCGCCATTTCCAACTTTTCTTTGTTAAGATGGAACGATGATATCTCCTCCAAGGCCTCCCTTTCGAGGGCATCTTCGGTATCTCTCGCCAACAGTTCTTGAATCCCCAACGTATGCGTCACACCCAGAATGAAGAATATTATACCAAATCCGGATAATAACTGCGGATAAACATTTATTAAAATTATGCTCAGCGAAGCAGATCAATTTTGTCTCATAGAGGTTGCTATTACCATTTCGAATATTGCAATTACTATTGTACCCTGCATCAGATTGAAGCAATGCATGCAGTGCTTCAACAGTCCGAACTGCATCTTGGCTTTTGAGAACTAATGTAGATTGTACTAGCACTTTAAACAGTCCTGAAAGTTTATTATTATTTTTTACATAATTTATAAATATCTAGCATTACGTGCATTATTATAATATATATTTTAATACGTCATTATTCAGATTTTCTAAATTATTCCACTCTTCGAAACATGTTTCGTTATTACATACAAAATAGAGAACCTATAACAGAGTCTGGCCACAAGATGACAAACTTTTGATCGGCCCATCATTTTCGTCAATTTACGTACGTTTACAATTACAAGTACGTTAGTATAAGGTTATAAGGTCTCTGATATAAAATAGATTGTACTGTAACAACCCATGTAGCACAGACCTCTAATGAACGTCCCAAAGACATTCAGAAGACATTCCTATATCCTAAAAACGTTCTAGAAACGTCCAGAAGACGCTCTACAGCCTAAGGACGATCCCAAAACGTTTCTTGGATAAACTGCGCTGTGTGGGAAACGTGAAGACCACTCTTTTATAAATAAAAATAAACCGTGTGTAACAACAATAATATATCAAGATCATATCACGTTCCTATGCTTATCTTGTATCGACTAACAATCCACGAGCTTGTCAACCCCTTGGCAACCCTCGTGTTGAGACGCACCTTAAAACAATCACAGCGGGTGACGAAAGTAGGTGAAACACACGTCGTCGCTTACCTTGGCGATCAGGACGACCAGGTGTGCTCCGAGTGAGCTCGTCGAATTAGCACCGTCCGTTCGCAATGAGAATCAATAACTTTCGTCTTGCGCATAAAACGGGACGCGGAATTCGCGGCGTGGTGGCTCTGATATTGCGGATTATCAACGATGAATTCTCCTGACACTCGTGCGATCGTAGACGAGCGAAAACTAATGTAATGGAAAAAGTAGCGGGTCTCAGATTCGGTCTCGTTGAGGGGCTTGCGACGCGCAGAACGCGAGGGTGACTTAGTGGTTCAAGGGGGGTTGAAAACGGCACCCTGACAGTAGACTTAGTAAACCGCTCGACGGATGCGCACGCGCCGCATCCCTTAGAGGTGCTCTGCTGTAGATTGATCATTGTTTATTTACACGCGTCGCGTCGCGTTGGCGTCAATTAATCGCATATGACTTGACAGATTATGATTCTTTAAAAATCAAACTTGCTGATTTAATTTAAGCCTATAATGGGAATTGGTTTATTTTTTATTTCTGTTCTTCGAGAGATGATTAATTGAATGAGAGCGTGTTTAATTTAAGGATTAATTACTGTAAAGAGAGTAATTAAAAGAAATTTCTAATTTTAGTTTGATCGATCCTATTTTCGAAAGTAAAATTAAAAAGATAGAGTAAATTGAATTAGTATAAAATAATCAGGTTCCTTATATTTGATTCGATATTCCAGATACTTAAAATTTAAAAATCTCAAATTTAGAAATTATCTAAGAAATATTATATTAAAATATATCAAAAAAAAATTTTCAAGCAAGGGTCGCGCAACTCTACAAAATTATAAATTCGTGCACTTTTGTAATTTTCACCTTGTTTTAAGATAAAAAGTCGATCTTTTAGATATACCATATACAATTTTTGAATCCCAAAATACAAAGATTTATTAAAAGCCTAAGTCTAAAAAATACAGCAGTTAATTTAGTTATACTCCGGTTTCTTTTGAATTTCAAAATTTGCACGAATTCGAGCAAATTGGAATTACGTATGAATATAGGTTTGCAAACAGAACTGCAGAAATTATTAGGTCCACTCGTAAGTGATTGGCTTGCGATTCGAATTCTAATTTAAAAGTTAGTTCGATCAAGTTGAGTCATCTTTTCAAGTAGTCATAGAAACGCAACGCGCGTCCCCCGGAATGGTAGATTGCGAGGCCAAGGGGGATGAATGCGTGATTGTCGCTTTGGTGAGCCGCAACTGCCGCGTCTGCCACAAGAACCGCAGGGTCGCGACAGTCCGTGACAGTTCTGCAATTAGCGTGATTCCGCGCGCGCTCTCCGGGATTCGCAATTTCAAAACCAAAATGGAGCGAAAATATCAGAGAGTCGGTTTGGGAGTGGGTGCATTTCACAACCCCCCACGAGCGAAGTATAGCGAGGAAACGAAGAATCTTATTAAGCGTAAGTAAATGGTAACCAATATTCAATGCGAGACTTACTTTATGTCATAATTGGATTTTTTATTACAATTCGGTCATGTCGCAAATGTTAAATGTTAGTGTTAATGGAGGAATCCAAGCTATCGATGATGCAAAGGAAAATGATCCAGGAGGCGGTAGACAAGGGTGAATCCTTACCGCCTTCCATTGCCAGAACGAAAAAAGCACAAGATAAAGTTGAAGATTATCAAGTAAATATCGTATAATAAAGGATTTTCTAGAAAATAATTTCAAGATAATATCCTGTAGCACATTTTTTTTTGCTAGGTTAAATTTCCTAATGCTTGGAGGAGGCGTTCACAGGATACAATTATAAGCAGCGGTGCTTACGAGAGAGAACAATACAGGAGGACAGCGCCTTTACGTAATAATTATAAATAATATTTTCTTCGAGATAGTAGCTGAAAATAAAAATAAACGTACGTTGAATGACATGAATTTTACACAATTAGCCAATAAGGATAAACAAAAGCGTCACTTGGCATGTATGATGGCTTTTGGAAAGGACATGCCAGAGACTCCTCACGGTCCTAAGATCCTTCACAGGGCTAAACGGGAGCCGGAAATACCTGAGAACGCGGATTTTCTGAATGACTGTAAGTTTACCAACAATCCCTTTCACACTTTGAAGAGAAGACATGGTAGCAACTATAAAGAAGATAACTATACAAGTTTTATATGTAAAATTAATATGTATATGAATAAGATATTTTATAATTACTGATTAAGAAAACGAGCAATGTACATTAATTCTATCACTCTCTTTACTTCAAAAGTGGCACAACTCACAAAATTAAATTTCCCAAAAAAGGAAAAATTATTTTTCAACTCGATAAAAAATTATTAATTAACCACTTTAAACCTTATAATTAAAGAAGATATTATTCGTTGAAATTATTTAATTCTATCAAACTATTGTGACGATAAATTGCGTCCTTTTGTTTCTCAAGTGGCACAAGGAATCCGTGAGAGGATGGATTTCTTGCACGATATGGAGAGTCTTGGAATGGGGAAGAAGTATCGGCCAATAATACAGCAAGAGATAGCGCAGAAAATACGGCTAATGGAGTCGCTGGACAGCCAAACGTCCGATCAGTTACGAAAAGAAATTTACGAAGTTAAGGACGAAAGACCGTCGTCGAAATTATTTCCATTGACTGAACCAGGGCAGAATTGATTCTTTCATTATAATCTATATATAACTAGATGAGATTACGTGACATCGAATTGTGTCAAATATAAACGATCGTATATTTTTTATTGTATTTCAGTCGTCTGATAAGCTCATCTACGAATGAATTTTGCTGATAAGAACTTAATGCCAAGATAATGCCAATATTATTGAACTCTCTGAAATGTGTAAGCAGATAAATTAATTATTTATGTGAATATTATATTCTCATATTATTCTGCAAAATTATCTTCATATTTAATATAGGCTTCCAAAAAAAGAAATAGATGTCAACTCCGTCAAAAGATTCATTTTTCTTGCTTTTCTCCAATCTTATTTTAACCATATACTTAATATCTTATTTTTTATATTTCATTTTTATCTATTTCTAACGTATTGTTGTTATTCTTTTGTTTCTTATTTAAAAAAGTACTCTTTGTGTTATTGTTACTTATACATCGATATACATTAATTTTATATATTCATGGTATTAATAGTTTTTATAACTTATCTTCCAATATCGACATTAAAATACAAATATTTATATTTATATATCTATTCAATTTGCTCTCTCTTTATCTTTCTTAATTAAAAAAAAAAAAGATTAAGAGTTAGATGGACCAAGATTAAAGCAGTAAATTATTAGTGAAAACAGGTATATTAGAACATCTTCCAAGTTCGAAATAAAAACAAATACATCTGTTGAACTACTGTCATCGTTAAAACGTAATACTCTTCCGTTAATTAAGAAAGAAAACAAAATAAAGATATTTGAATTTTAAAAAATGCATTTATATCGAGATGTATGTACGTTTCTCTGACGACTCCGAAACAGAAAACGTAAACACCGCAGCACGCTCGGTCCTGTAACCTGTTCCGCTCGGCTCATCGCTTCACGTGGACTCCGCGGCGGGCCGCCGCGATCGCGTGAACACCACGAGGCAAGGCAAGGCACGAGGATCAGCGTTCACGACGTGTCCCGTCGCCGTCGTCAGTCTTCCGCCGCGCGGCGACAGTGTATGTTGCCTGGGTGTTTCTCACACGTCATTCTCGTCGTATTGTTGACGTGTCGCGAATGCCGCGAGTGCGCGCAGCTCGATCGTGTCACGAAATCGGTCATTATACTCGCACGAGACCCAAACGAGAACACCAATTTCGACGCTCTGGTGTCGTCGATCGACTTGTCTAGGACGACTAACTTCGTCTTTCCTCTTCTCTCTCTCTCTCTCTCCTTATCGCCGATCCGCCGCACGAATGGTCCACGGATGATCCACGGATGATCCAACATGGCGTCGACCGATCTGTCGTTCGGTAAATGATAAGCCTCACCAAAAACTCCGTAACGAGCTCCGTGACAAGGTCTCTCGCGAGGTCAACCGGTTCCCTCTCGCCGTCGCGTCGCGCCGCGTCTCGTCCGCTGCGCCTCACGAAAACGCGGTCGCTCCCTTCTTCTCTATCCTTCTTCCCCCCCCCCCCCCCCCCCCCCCCCAGGACACATCGGGCGGACGTCTCTCGTTTGCCTTCCGTTCGCCGAGAACGAGCCTCGCGACCGGAAGCTGCAGCATCGTCTCTTTTTCTTTTCTTTCCCTCTCTTTTTTTGCGATCCTAAAGACGCGCGTGTCCAGGATGCGGTAATCAGCTGATCTTTAAAAGCGCCTTGACATCCGCGATGTGACATCGCGTATATGCGCGACCCGACGATGATAACGGTGACAACAACGCGCGTTTAATCTATTGTTTGCGATTTTATCCCCCTGTTAATAAACTCTTTATCACGTACACACACAAATTAGTAAAAAGGCGCTAAACTTCCGAGACTGCCTACTGCGATGTCTATCTGATAAACACTAACTAACACAGTGTAACATCAATGTTGTAATTTCTTACACGGAAAAAACAAAAAAAACAAAAACAATTTGGTTGGTCCATTTAAATTATACGTAGGAATCTCAAGCGTAATGTTGTAAAAAATTTTAGCATTCCAGCAACTAGTTTGAGTTCTACATAATTAATCATCCAACAGAATTATTTTACATTGATGTAATAAGAAATTATAACATTGATGTTGTGTTGCTGTTAGTTGATTTAGTTTACTAAGTGATAATATTTCTATGTATAATAAATAATTATTCAAAAATTAATATTTAAAAATAATTTTAAATACATTTTTTCTGTCATATGAACTACGTTATTAATAAACTTTACAGATAGAGAAGATTTATAGAGCTCGGACGCTTTTTTGACGTAAAGAATGCGCGCGTCTTCTTTGAACACGAATCGATTAAATCGCACGATATGTCATCGAAAGTATTGGAACGTGCTGATGTTGAAGGGACGTTGAGATGTACCATTTTAGCATGACTGTATTAACACGGCAATAATGACGCATGAGATGTTTCATAATCGCTCTCTGATTTCACCTTGGAATTTCATTAGGCGTTATTCTTTCTTGCGTGATGAACTTTTCCTAAAAAAAAGTAGCGTATATAATACAATTTCGAATATGGTATAATTCTGAACGAAACAAAATTTGAATGTTCAACGTTTAAGTTTAATTTTTTCTGTTTGGTACTCTTCAGCCTCTTCACAATGAGAAGTTTACCAAATTTTAATCTCGATAATTGAACTCAAATTTTATTTTGTTCAAAATTGTAATATTTTTTCATTGAATGATATTTTATTGTACTTGAAGTTGAATTTGTTTGATCGTTTTGAAGATCAAATTCTGTTATTATATGATCTACGTGGAAAGAATTTTTCTGAAGTATTCATAAACTTGAGAGTATTTAAAAGTTTAGTTATACATATAAATACAAATTTGAAAATAATTTCGTTGAAATTATGAGATTAATTTTGTAGGGCACTTAAGTTGATCGTTAGAATGTCAAAACTTTTTGTAGCATTATCATGCTTGAATTTCCTATATATTATCATTATTTCTATATATTATACATATAATTATGTTAATAATCCAACAAAATTATTTTCAAATCCGTATCTGTCTAAATTTTAAACACTTCAGTAAAATTGTTTTTTCCTGTAACACATTTATTACAATATAGTATTAATTACCTACACATCTAATTGTACATGAAGGTATCGCTTTGTCATCATCGAGTCACTTCCAAAGTGACTCGATTCGCTCCCAAAGTTTCGTGCGAATTTCGCAAGGGATTTTGTATGGTTGCACAGGTTTTAATACAACTTCACGTAAATGGAACAATAGAGAACGACGTCGGATTGAGGAAAAGGACAATTTTCCCCAGGAAAATGCAACGCGGTAGATTCCCGTAAGGTGCGGTTTCTTGTAATAGAAACGCGGAGAAAGTCACTCGAGTTCCCTTTAACAAAAGCACGCTCGTTCGCGGGACGACCGACCCGGTGCGAACGCATTCACGTATTCCGCGTATACATTTCGTCACGCGCGACCGACGAGAGCGGTCGCAGGTAGAGCGAGCGGACGCCGCTCTCGAAGGCCTCGTTATAGCATAGCCGTCGAGCGAGCGAGCGAGCGAGCGACGGTAGAACTTCATCGAGGAGACCTGTCTTTCTCTTTCTTTCTCTCTCTCTCTCTCTCTCTCTCTCTCTCTCTCTCACGTTTCTCTCCCGTACAAATCCCAGGTTGTATACCGGCGTTCTACAGAGAAGTCTACGAGAAGGTCTGCTCGCCCACCAGCGGAAACGTCAAGCTCGAGGTGTTCAGGTCTCTGCTCGTCAAATCGCAACTAAGCGGCTCCATCGTCAATCAGGTACGACTCTTCTGTGTCTCGTTTATTTATGGAACTGGATATGCATATAAATTCACGTTGAAAATATTATTTAACCGTTTTAACTGATGAAGATCCAGCGTAGATCATTGAGGTTTTCCTTACAATCAGTTGTGTTTAGGTATACTTACATACACATTTACGATTTTCATTTCTTTAGGTCCCGCGTATATTGTACTGTACATCAAATTTGAAGATACTCGTTGAAATTATTTAATTCTATCGACATCATCTGAGATCCGTAAATTTTACGTATCGATATATCATTTTAGGATGAAGAATTTAAGTCGGATAGAGAAAGTTCTTTCGCATTTCCGATTGCTCGAAACGTTAGAATGCAATACAAATACGATGATCCAAATGAAACTTGGATTGTATCTTATACATGGGAGAAAATAATGTAATTATAGTATTATTAATCTAATTGAAAATAATCTTATTAATTTTAAAATAACACTAATGAAATATAATAAATACGGCATGCTCTTGTTCTGATAAAATAGCATTTGTTTCATTGATATATTGTTGTTGAGTTAAGATTGTTTTCGATTAAACTTGCTGTTAATATATACTTTTTCCATGTAGTAATATATTGTAATGTAATTTTAATTATGCAATTTATAAACAATGGGCGTGTCAGACGCTAAACTGATCAACTCCCCTTCTTTATAAACTTGTTAATTTCAATATAAGCGAAGTATACACTTAGTTTGTAACTGCATCAATTTTCTTTGCTCTTTATATTATGGAGTTGACTAACTTGATTTCCGAGGGTATATAAAGTTAGATTCTTCACCGATTACGATGAAAATGTCATTTATCTTCTTATCTCGCAAATCCTACGAGAAATAAATGAAGAACAGAGGAAGAAGGCATTCCGTCGAGCGTTTACAAAGAAATACATTACGCCACGGAGTAAATCCGATAGCGAGTTTAAACGCAGCGAGCATGTTTCTCTCGCGGGTTTCAGTTTCTAACGTGCGACCTTTCCCAAGAGAAATTTACTTGTATTACGTTTGTTCTCTATTGCAAGCCGCGTGCACAAAATATTTCTTTCATAAAATACATACCGAGATTCTTATTTTAAACATCAAGAAACGTATACCGTAGTGAGAGAAACCGATTCTTCATATTCATGAGGTACCTACTTCGCTGCCTTCTCGGATGATTTAAAAACAACGGTTTCGATCGTTGCATCGAGCAAAACAGTCTTCCCTAATCAATTTGAGCCGAGGATAT